CCCCAAAACCCCAAAACCCCAAAACCCCACGATAATGGATTTGAAAGTAAATTGAATGAATATTGATATAATTCAATTATAGAAAATAATATTATCAAAAGCTTGCATTAAAACTTTAATCAGTTGATATTTTTAATAACAGCCTTATCGCTAATAATCAATTTTGCTCCCTGACTAATTCTTTAAAGGTCAACAGCAAGCCATTTCAAAATATCGTTATTATCATAGACCATCTTCTCGTACATTTCAAAGGTTATGATATCCCCTTACGGAACATTTTTGTCACTATCATTTTCTTGCTTTAGATGACCGACTTAAGCAGTTGCTTGTGTATTCTGCACAGCATTATCTTGTGGCTTATGAGATTGGTACTTTTTCAAATCTCTGAAAGTATCATCAACAATTTCTTAAATGACCTCTTCCGGTAAATCACAGGTTCCAAGTCCACGGATTGCATCCCTTAGGATGTCAACTAAAGTGTCTTTCTTGACATAACCCTTATCCTTAGGGTCATAAATCCTGAAAGATAACTTAATTTGTTTGTCGATAGTTTCATTGAGGAAAGTAGCGAAGGCAATAATAAACTCTCTGAAATTTATCACTTTGTCATCATTCGTGTCAAAAAGTTTAAACAAATTTTGAGAATATATACCATGTTTCAAGCCAATAGCCTGACAGAATTCATCATAGTCAATTACACCATCATCTTTTTAGGACTTAGAGAGTTAGTTAAAGTAAAGATATAGATCATTTATTTCTTCTTGAGTAAATGTTGATACCTTCGAGAACTCCACTATAAATTAAGGTAAGGTAGTTGTATGACTACTTACAGAGCTCATTAGACTTAAGGCATTTAATTTTAGTATTGCTAACTCCCATATTTTAATGATTAATTCTGATTATTATTAATTTTTAAATTATGAGAAATACTTTTTACTTAGTCATAAGCATTCTCATCTTAACTTCTTTTATTTAATATGCTGAAGGTTAATGCACTGAGTATTAATTTCAGTTGAATGGATAATGCATAGGTATTATTTTAGTCATTTTCATTATGTTTAGATTGCAACAATGTTCTCTATGGTTGCCGTTCATGCGCATTTTAATCTGTAACATTTGAGAGTCAAACAATTCAAGGATTACAATGTTTAGATTGTGATTTCGGATTATATCTTTTAAAGGTCAGTAATAATACTGCTATTGATTCTACCACTAATGTGCTATCAATGTGTCTGCCAAAATGCGAGGATTACTCATATCAATACATTTCGAACCCAAACTCAAGATAGTGTGAATGTAATTTGCATCTTTAATTTAAATTTGAATTTACTGATCTCACTCTATGATTTAGATTGTGGACCACATTGTACTAGATGCACACTGGGAAAGGGTTGCACCGATTGTTCTATGGATAACCGTAAGAAATATTTGTATTTTAGCTCTAACTCTAGATGGATATTACCTGACTTCAAAAAGTTATTAATTGACCTTTCCCTACAATACTGTTCAGCAGCCTTCAACTCAATTTTAAACTTGTCAATCATGCTCAAGTATTTCAGGGACTAATGGTAGATGCGATAGTTGCAGTAAATATACTGACGGCTTCTGTGAATCTTGCTATCAATATGTAAATAATTTGAATTCGACCTCTGAAACTGCTGCAGGAGGTTGCACTCTTTGCACTAATAGTACATTCTAAAATTGCCTTCAATGTAATTCAACCAACAAAGCGTAATGTCTGACTTGTAATAATGGGTATTTCCTCAATAGTACAAAATTATGCCAATAATGCTCATACCCTAATTGTGGAAGATGCAACACAACATAATGCCAGGAGTGCTCAAAAGAATATTTTTATCACCCTACAGCTAAAAATTGCACACTTTGCACTACCAAAAATAAATCTCCCCAATTATATGAATTACAAGATTATAGATGTACATAATGCAATGGTACTTGGGGAAATTCATCATCATATTGCTAAAAATGTGATCTAGGATATTAAAATTCAACTTTTAATGCAACAATGTCAAATACTACTTGCCAACTTCGGTGTGGGATAAAGCAGTATCCTGATTTTATGTTCACAAGTATTAATGGAAATGATAACATTATGAACACAACTATTTGTAAAGAATGCCCAAGCTAATGCTATAAGTGTACTGGAAATGATCCGCTTACACAGTGCACGGAGTGCTATCCAAATTAATATCTTAGCATAACAAACTCAGCTAAATAATCTGGGGTTTGTGTTACAAAAATAACTTCTGCAAATACAGTATCGTTCAATATTTATGTTTCTAATTTGGATGCAGATATTTCTAGATCTGCATCTTTGAGAAATGGAGACTAAACCACTCCTTTAATTGATATATAAGATGCCTTCACAAGAGCCTAAGAGCTAGCTGCTCAGTATACTGACACAGTTAAAATAAACATTTATCTGACTAGTGGAATTCATTATCTGCTAAGGAATAGAGGAAATTCTGCTGATATTTATCAACCAACTTAATACTACGATCCTAACAATTTAAACTTTGAGCTCTATATAAATCCAGTCGGGTGCGCTTCTGAAAGTACATGTACAGCCAACTAGGTAACTTTAATAAATAAAAGGAGAGAAGGATTTTTGTTTGATGTTCCGGTTAAACTTCATATTCGACATGTAATTGTAGATTCTTTGGATTCTATTCTACCATCATTAACTACTTGTCTTGGTTAAAGAAGATAATGTTGCTAAATAAGCGGGAATACAATTAGCAATACCTTAACAACAGATACAAGTTTTTCATGTTCGCAAGCCTTCAATAACCTTTAACTTGATTTATAATGCAATATAAACATGCCTAGAACTATGTTCAGAATGAGATTGAATAATAGAAATCACGTTAGTTCACCTAATCAACTAAAACTAGAAAATGTCGAAGTTAATAACATATTCTATGATATGAACTCAGTTGTAAATTTTACAGAATATGGCGGTAATGTCTAAATTTTAAACACTAAGTTCCAAAGAATTAGTATATGTGGATCTGTTTTCAAGAACTACTACACAAACTTACCATTAGCAGATTTAACTTAACTGACTACAGCATCAACTCTAAGTCAAGTTTAAATTAATTTCATAGCGAAGATGAGAAGGATTTAGCAATCTTATGTTGACAATTACTATGATACAATTATGAGAGGGCCAACAACCAACCCATTTATCGGTTGTCCAAATGATAACTGTTTTTCATTGGAAATAAAGGGATCTACTTTTGCCTAGATACCCTTCAATATGATGTCACAATCTTCTCTAAATTTAGTTAATAACGTGAATGGTGTTAGACATTAAGGTAGTGTAATAAACCTGATAAACTTCAAGGGAGATGTGCTAATCTAGGATTCTATTTTCCGAGAAAACAAATTTAATTTTGATGGATGTGATAACATTCTCAATTCACTCATTGACAATCCTGCTAAAATCAGCTCTATTAATAATTTCAATCAATTATACAACCCAGATAGTGCTCATAATCTTTATCAACTAAAGTCCATTGTCAGTATTTTAAACCACGAACAAAAGCTCTACTTTTATAACAACCAATTTTTAAACAATATAGGATTAAAAGGAATCGTGAATATTGATCTCACCAAGACTAATAACTACCCACTTTTTTTCTATAAGAATAATTTCTCTGAAAATGCGGGTATATTTGACTCTAGTGTCCTCAACCTTAGAGTTAGAAACGATATTAATCTATTAGGCACAACTTATACTTCAAAGAGTAATTTTGGCTGTGGAGGAGTAGAGTTAAATAGCAATACATTTGTCAGTAATTATGGTTGTTATCAGACAAATGGTGCGATATATCTATATTGCTACAATAGTCTATAAAACTCTGACAGTAATATAGTAAAATATGTCCCAAGCTATGATTCTCAATACTTGATTGGTAATAGTGGCTCCTCAAATCTGATTTCAGAAGACAAGTCCTTATTATCATATGATTCAATAACTCATACATACACTCCATATTCTTATAATTCTGCAACTACACCCACTTCAATAAATTTCAACACAAATCTTTAATGGACAGTATTAAGCTAGAATAACTTCACAAGCAATTATGCTGGAGTTAATAAGTAAATTGTTGATATTCAAGGTTTCCCAATAGTAATAATGAAAAATGACATTTTTAGTAATAATCAAAACTACTTCAATAACTCATTCAACTCACTTTCCTCTCTATATTAGCTATAGACAGACAAGACTAAACCTACTACATTTACTACTATAACACAATCCAATCTCAGAGATTATCAACTTAAATCCAGGTCAATTTTGACTTTAACTAGATCTCTTTACTTGCTTATGAGTAATGTATCTTTTGATAATAACTATATATCTGATTCAAATACAAATGACGCTCTTGTACCTAGATCAAATGCCTTGCTTTTGGTTGATTTTTATGGCTTTATAGTGATTAATGATTCATCTAGATTTTTAAATCATGTAGGAATTAGGGGAATCCCCTTTTTTTCTAAGCTTTTGGCCACTGATGTATAATTAGGATTTAAAACGTCTTTGATCAATTATTAAAGATGCTAATTCTCAAGTTTTATAATACAAAATGTTTAATTTTAGCATAATTAGGGATTTTATGACAATTCTTTAGCCACAGTGCCTTTGCCCTACATATTTTAATTAAGGACTGAAAATTTCATAACTAATTATTAATTCGTTTTTGATTAGATTTTTGTAAACAATAATACCTTCTACAACGGATATGGATTGATTTATCTGGACATATAAAACCTGAATATAAAGAATTCTATATTTTCATTAAATGGGAAAGCTAACGATAATACTAATAATGGTATGCTTGTGGTTAAATTAAATGACACTTATGAAATAAACTTAGAAAATAATACTTTTGATACTATTTTCACTAATAATATGAGTGCTATATACTTTGAGTAGTAAATCTTACAAACTAAATCAGGCAACCTAGGCTTGGCAATTACCATTTCTAATAACATCTTCAATAATATTAGGACAAGTTCTACTGGAAATGCTGTCCTTGCAATAGAAGGTAATTAAGGTTCCTGGACATCATATTATTCTCTCTAGCTGAATATTTTAAACTCAACTTTTAAAAACATTCAAAGTTAATTGGACTAAGGACTTTTCCAATTAAGAGCTCAAACCATTAAAACTTCTTAATTTATTTAGAAAATATTCATTAACAATTCAACTTTTAGCACAATTAGTTAAGGAAGTGTATTCAAAATTAGTGAGCAAAATATAGCAGCTACTTAAAGCTTTGCTAGATCTTTGCTGATTTAAAGTAGCATATTTTCAGATGTAGCTAATGGGAATGTAATAGACATAAAGCAATAGGTAGGAACATCATCAACTTTGGAAAACAATTTATAAATAGAAAACTCAAATTTCACCAAAATTTAAAACGGCATTGGAATAATAAGATAACCTCAAATATACACTTCTACCTCCAATATTGTCAACAATGTTACAATCTTTAGGACTAACTTTACAAATTTCGCAACTAGTTTAAGTTTGAGCTTTGAAGATGGTAGTATATTTAAGTCAGGTTCAAAATATACATAAAACTTGACTGTATTAGAGTCAAATTTTTAGACAATCAACGGCTAAGGAATAAGAATAGGAGCATAGACAGTTGACTCAATAAGTGACATTGATCTTACTGTTGACTTAAGGGAATCAGCTTTTTAAGACATCAATAATCGTGCCGTTGAATTTGGTACATCTCAAATAACATCAAATGGCAATTTCAAGAGCTATACGCTAATGGAACGAATCAATCTAATAAATGTTCAAAGATCTCCAATTTTAATAGGAATCAGAAATATATCTGTCACTGGCACCTACAATCAAGTACTTCTCATCCAAGACAATGTGTTCAAAGACATAAACAATCTATATGGAGCTATATCAATACTTCAAACGAATATCACTTCAGGGGGTAATCAGTTGAATAATATGACGATTAAAAACTGTCAATTTTTAAATTTCGTTAATGGCAATGGCATTTATTTGGACACTATAAATTACAACAATTTGTTTACAACTCACACTGATATACTTGTTCTAATGAATAGCACTTTTTACAACTTCACAAATGGATCTGCTATTTATCTTACTAATTTAACAGTCTATTCGAAAGGAAACTACTTTAAATCCTTTCAATTGTATAACAGCTCATTTGAACTCTTTCTTAATAGACCTTCAATTTTTATAGGTCCATAGTTGCTCAATTCACAATCACAGTTTTACCGTGAAGTTATTTCAAAGGATCTGAAGCTAAAAGACGTTTACAGCGACGCCTTTTACTTTGGATATAGATAGATAATAGCTGTAGGAATTTATGAGACACTTCTTTAATACCAAAACTGCACATTCTAAAACATTGGAGGGAATGCAGTTTAAGTTGGAGATCAATCTATAAATGTATAATCATCAGCAAAAGTTGATCAAATTTACTCAGATTCAATATTTACAAATATCACTGGAAATGCTTTTGATATGGGCTCAAATCAGATATATGGAAGGTCGTCATATTAGCATTAGATACTTACTACAAATTTAACTTTCGCTCTTGTGAAGCAAAATGCTTTTTACTTTAAGGAAGGGTCAACATTAGTAGAGGGAGTCATGTCAAAATATTTGCATCTGAACAAATCCTCTTACACTGATATTACATTATCTGCAGTTAATATCTCATCAATAACTGCCACAACTAATGCTATGATCTTCTAAATAATAGCAGATCTATGTAAATTTAACAGAATTGGGTTACATGGTATTTCTCATGGAGCAAGAAACATGCTTTCCACTAATGACATATACTCACATTTGACTTTCACAAATAGTACAGTAGCTAATATTGGCTAAGACTTCATTAATATTGGTAAATTGACAGCTATCAATCAAGCAAATATAGATTTACTTTTATTGGTTGAAAATAACGATTTAGATTTTATCACAGGAAATGGATTCAATATTCATGGCTATGATTTAACTACTACCAAAAATATATCTATAATCATCTAAGTTATCAACACAAGTCTAACTTCAGTAGGGGTGTCAGGACTTTAAATTGGTTAAATAGATATAAGACAGTCTTCATTTTTAAACAGGACCTTACTTCTGAAGGATAATGAATTTATTTTAGTTACTGATTCAGGAGTTATTTTTCAAGCGGTGAATACTTTACAAGCTTAAAATATGATATAGTAAAGTGGCTTTATAAACAACACATTTAAATCGATTAATAAAAATGCTTTGATATTTTATGAAGATATTGCTGTTGTATCAGGCTTTTGTATTGATTCATTTGCATTATCAGGAAATACCTTTAACTAAATTTTGAGCTAAGCTCTAAAATTTAATCCCAAAAGCTTGACTTGTTCTGATTACATTCGTTAAAATTATACCCTCTTATCAAATTAGCTCACCGCAATATCTTCTCACGGATTACAATTACCCTATCAAATTATCACAACTTACACTACATTTGAGTAGTCAACAAATGCTAGCAATAATACATTTACGAATGTAGGAGGTGATGCACTTCAAATTAATTCTCTAGATTCCTCATCTCAAAATAGCGTCAATAAAACATCCAATATATCCTTTAATACATTCACTTCTGTCAGTGGAAATGCTGTATTTTTTGGTTATAAGTATCTCACAAATTCGAAAGGATTTGTTAATTTCACAAAATTCGTTCAAACTAACAATTTCAATGGAATATCTAAAAACGCTATATCATGGGGCGACACAAAATTGACTGGAGGTTCTTCTTGGATTAACTTCACTAGAAGTTTACTAGATAATAATGGGTAGAATATTCAGAATAATGGTATAACTTTTGGATCTAAGTCAATTCAAACAACCAATGAAGTATTAGATTAACTTTTGATAGACAAGAGTAAATTTCAAACAGTTTCTAACTCCTCTATTATAATAGGAGATACTACTATTGTTTCCTCAAAAGCAACTAGAATTGCATAGTTTAAAAACTTAGACTTTAATACGATATCAAATGGAGTTGGAATATATATGGGAAAAACTTATATACAAACTCTGGTTGGTTCCTTAAGTTATGACTTTCAGCTATATAATGTTAAGATTCAAAATGTTTTAAGTTCAACCAATGGGTATGGTGTAAATGCTGACACTGTAACACTATTAAGTCCTAGTATACTTTCATATTAAAAATTAATGTCAAATCTTGATTTTAGTTAGATTGCTTTGAGTGGCCTGCTATTTAATGATCTCAAAATCAACAGTACAGGGTATTTATTTCATTATCAAGAGCTGTTGTCCAGCAAATTTACAAACATCATATCAGGATCTGCTATGCACCTAAATAACCAAACTCTAAATGGCGTAGCAAATGTCAATAAAACAATCCTTTTGTCTGGATTGCAATGCAAAAATATAGGAGTTTCAGGTTTATTTAGTAGGAATATATCTGTATACTCAGGACAAACATTGACAAGAATCTCTTAAATTTTAAACAGCTATTTCGATTCAACTGGGGACTCAGGGATAATTTTAACAAGCTCTGATGATATAAACGTTAAACAAAACTACATCGATGAGCTGAGTATTGACAATAATAACTTCAATAATAATTTAGGTAGAGGCATATACATTGGAAACACTAATGTTTATTCAGGTTTAAACAGTATTTTTACAACTAAGATTAAAAATTCCGCATTTAATAATGATTAATTTTCAGCTTTTAGTGCTCAAATTTTTACAATCAAAGCTGATGGTAACATTGTAGAGGATTATTAATTCAGCAATCTAACAGTACAAAATATGATTGAAAGCAGAGGAATATTTTTTAATTATAGAGATATTTGGTCAACGAATGGAATGGTGCAAAGCAATTTCTTGTTTAATGAGTTAACTTTTGAAACGATATCTAAAAGCTAAGGAATAGATTTTTTCAATCAAACTATCGAAGCTAAAGGCCCTATCACTTAGTTATTTACAATGACTTATTGCAAATTTAACAAAATTCTCATAGGCTCAGGATTTAGACATACAAATAATACATTTATTACAGATGGATCAATAAAACTATCACTAGATTTATCACATAGTTCATTTTCAAACATAAACTCCGAGAACGGTGGTTCATCTATCTATATAAATCAAGAGTAATCAAATGCTTAGTAGACCTATGAATTTGATTTAACTATGAATAATATGACCTTCAGCTATATCTAAAAGGGTGGGGTTCTTAAATTTAGAGATTACATGAACTATGCGAAAACCGGCTACATTTTCAATGTTTAATTGAAGAATACAAAGATCCAAAATATCTCTAGTGGAGTTGCACTTTAGATAATCAAAGATCTAATATAATCTGATAGTGCTTACACCAACAAGCTAATCATTAAAGATGACTCTATTTTCAAAAACATCTCTACTCTGAATGGAGAGTCTGCAATATTGCTTTAAGAAAGTTTTATCCAAGCTAAAGATATTTATTAATCAACTATCACATTGAGCGATACTCTCATTTCTGAAATACCTCAAGGTCCATCTATATACTTTACCTTGAATCACATAGAATCTAGTAATGACATTGTTTAGCATATGATTTCAACCAGTAATCTGACTTTTAAAAATTTAAGAGCTATTGGTAATTCTTCTATCCAAATAAATCAATTCAACATTTATGCTAAGAAGAATTTCTACAACTACTTTAAATTCGAAAATTCATTAGTCTAGAATGTTACTAAAGGGTCTACTATTAAGATTTTGAATTAGAATATAACATCGGCTACACTAAGTTAATTTATGCAAACATATTTCCTTAATTGTACCTTCGATTAATTGTAAACCCAGGATTTGGCTGCTATTATACTAATTGACGAGGGTTTGACTAATACTGTGAGTGATTAAAACTTACTGAATTTTGAACTAACTAATTTTACCTAAAATTCAGGTGCATTAGTCACTTCTTCTGTTTATGTAACAAGCAATAATTTCTAAAAAACGACTTTTACTAAGTGCAAATTTGATTTCAATTATGGACTAGTAACAAATGAAATCTTCTTTGGCATTATTTAAAGCTTAGATATCATTCAATGCGAATGGAAAACTAATTAAAACAACTAGAATTTGGCTTAATTTTTGTACAAGTATATTTACGATTTTCTTTTGACTATTGAGGATTCCACATTTAATTGTGGCATTCAATAATCAGATAGCATTGTATTACAATTTGATGAGTCAGGGATTGTTAATACTGCTTCCTTATTTAGGTTTTCTGTAGAATAAAATAATCCATTAGGCGATCAGTCTAATCAACTTAAGCAAAATTTGTACACTTAATGCAATTCAGTATACAAGGGTTCTATATTCAGACTTTCAAATGGATCCTAAGTTTATGATGAGGGTTCTTAGTTTACTTAGAACTCAGCCCTGTTTGGTGGAGTTGCCTACCTTGAAAACGCTAATACATTTTTGCAAGTTTCAAAACCGAAAGTTGTTATGAAAAATATTGCATTTTATGGTGGATTCATTTATCTTTTACAGCAGGCAAATGCTACCTTCTAAGAAGCCTAATTTAGTCAAAATAGAGCAGTTGAGGGAGCTATAGTTTATATGATTGATAGATGCTATTTAAAGATGGATGTATCATTTTCAATTAAGACGTCTACAGTTTACAAAAGGGGAGTAATAGTAGCACTAGCAGGATCATGGTTCGAGCTTAGTTCGGGTGTGGTTGAACTAAATACTGCATATTATGAGTCTGCTTTTATTTTTATGAGCGATGCTAATGATCTTTATGTATTTAATAATGGTCTAGTTAAGTATGAGAGGTTTACAAGTTTGATCTATTAGTGTAGAATACAAAAGAATGAAGTCCTCTATGGAGGTAAATTGATATCAGTAATAAATGGAGATCTTAGTATCTAAGAATGTAATATCAATAAAAACTATATCTATTAAGACACTTAAGGTATCTTTGCAGCTTAAGCCAACATCTGGATAAACAATACAATCTTCCAAGAAGATTACAAACCTTCTTGGTACACTTAGCTTTTAAATAAAGCCATTGGTGACATGAATGGAGCATATTTAAGTATTGGAAGAAATTCATCGATCTATGTAAATACAACAACATTTATTGGAGGAAGAGCAGTTTATGGTGGATGTATAAGTGTTTAGGGAACATCAAAAACTCTAATCTAGAATTGCTCATTCAAATCTTGTTCAGCCCTTCTTGGAGGTGGGATTTATGCAGTCAATTTCGACTCATTAACAGTTGAATCTTCAACATTTTCTTAAAATGTCGCATTTAGGGGATACTCTCAAAATATTTACACATAAAATTCTAAACTTAATGTAACGCTGAGGAACAATTCCTTTTCTAGCTATCACAATTCAGTTTTCCTTAGAGATGGAGTACTTTTTTATGTTGCTGGCAATTAGTTTAAGTCTGAAAGTAATAGAGTAGCAGAGATTCCTCTTATTGAATATGGAGGAGGTCTTCACATCATTAATACATTGCAAATCTAAATTATTGAGGAAAATGTCTTCTAAGGTTTGACAGGTTACAATGGAGGTGCCATTTATATTTCTATTGATATAAACTATAAAAATCTTTACTCTGATGTAGCATATTTAATAGATGGAGCTCTAATAGATGGATGCACAGCTATGATTGACGGTGGAGGAATTTATATTAGAAATATTAAAAAGATGAAAATTTAAAGCACAAAAATTACTAACTGCAAAGCACCTAAAGGTAATGGAGGAGGAGTATAATTTATTTGCTATGAATCCTGGAATGATAAATGCGAATTAAGCATTTGGGAAAGTGAAATATCATATAATTCAGCCTTGATTGGAGGGGGGATCAGATGGAATTGGGTAAGTCCAAAGGAAGATCAGTAAACTTCTGTCATTAATAATAAAGGAACATTGTATGGCTAAGATTATGCATCATTTGGTAGGGAACTTGTGCTTTTAGCTGATGATGATGAATATTTAAAGTACTTCAACAAAGCATCTCTCGATAAAAAAGTAGTTACGAAGACACTTACAAAGTATGTCTATAGTAATGTATAAAGTGGAGGTTATATACCTACTGCTTATTTAGCACTAGTTGATGATTAAGGCTAAGTCGTTTCAACTAATTCAGGAAGTATGATTTAATTTGATGTGACTAAACAAACTGTTGGTTAATTTGAGACATAAGTGTCTGGAGTAAACAAATTCTTTTCTACTTATGGAGTGTTCAATGTAAGTGGATTATTGATAGTAGCTGCTCCAAATTCTAATCAAAGCTTGATTTTATCCTCCTTAGATGCAGTTGATCTTTAAAGACCAAGCAATTAAGACTATTTAAAGCCAGCCTATGGAATAAAAACTGGTAACCTTACAAAATATTAAATAGAAGTTGGAATTATTATCAGAGGATGCATCAACGGTGAAGGTCTTAGAGATAATGGTGCTTGTTACTAATGTCCAAAGGGTACATATCTATTAAAGCCTCCCGTAATACCAACTGAGTGCAAGGTTTGTCCAGGGGAAAAAGCTGTCTGCAATGGAGGTTCAAACATTGGACCAAAGCCAGGATATTGGAGAAAAGACAATGAAACTGATAATTTCATTGCCTGTTTTGAACCTACTTCTTGTCTTGGAATGCTACCACCTTTAAATAACCCTGTTGGTGATTGTCTTGAGGGATACTATGGCGCACTTTGTACATCTTGTATGCCAGGATATTCAAGATCTGGTGATTATGCTTGCAGTAAATGCCCTCCTGCCACAATAAATTTATTGAGAATTTCAGGAATAATGGTTGCTGTCGTAGCTGTAGTAACATTTATGGTGAGAGGAACCTTGAACTCAGCTGCAAAGAAAAATACTCATTCTGTGTATATGAAGATCTTCATGAATCATTTGTAATTACTCTCAATTTGTGCTGCATTTAAGTTTTAGTGGCCTGAATAAGTGAGTTCTTTTTTTTCAAGTGGGAGTGTAGTTTCATCAAGCTAAGAATCTCTTGTTTCTTTTGATTGCTAAATGGATGATAGAAATCCAGCAGGTATTAATCGATACTATTTTAGAACTGGAGAAAAAGAGATGAGAATTGTTTACTAAAAAACTTTTATTATGGCTGGTCTTCCTGTATTATTAGCTATAATTGTTGCATCGGTGTGGATTATCATTCTAAAGAGAAAAAATCAAATGGATCAATTGGAGACTAAGTTTGTAGCATCTTTAGTTATCATATTCTTCCTAGTCCATCCAACAATTACATCAATGATGATAGATATATTCAATTGCTAGTCATTTGATTAAGAATTAAGATTGATGAAGGATCTTCAAGTTATCTGCAATACAGGCTTACATTCAATAATGGCATATGGTGTTGCTCTTCCCTGTATTGGTCTTTGGGGTATTGGAATTCCTGCCTCTGTCTGGTTTTTAATGAATAAAGATAAAGAAAAGTTGGATACTTTGGCAGTTAAGTAGAAGTTTGGATTTCTATACAATGGATACAAAAGAACGAATTTCTTCTGGGAGATAGTCATTATGTATAGAAAAATTGGAATGATTGCTATAGCAGTTTTTATGAATAGAATAGGTATCATGGTGCAAGCCTTAGTAATCTTGATTCTTTTGGTTGGATTTTTATAGCTTAATAATATGAGAAGACCGTTTGCTACAAGAGCTTTAAATGATATTGAAGACCTTTCTCTAATGACAGGAATCATCACAATATATTGTGCCATTTTCTTCATCTCTAGTAAAGATAAAAATTCAGAGTCGTTTAATCCAAATTCAGACTTTAATCTTGACAATACAGGAAAACTCATACTTTTTGGAATTATTGTATTTGGAAATTTTGCTTTCATTCTGACTTGGTTTTTTAAATTCATAGCAGTTGTCAGGCTTCTTGTCAAGGAGAGATATCAGAAAATATATGTTATTGTATTCCTATGCTGCAGGTAAGATAAATTAGAAAAAGAAAATGAGCAGTTAGCAAAAGTGGTCAAGAGAGAAACTATTATTGAAAAAATAGAGGAGGTTTAATTTTTCCTTAAGAACATGAAAAAAATGTATACCAGATAGATTTTCTATGAAGGGCATTAATAATTCTTAAAAATGCTCTATTTTATAGAGGCACAGAAGGCTACAATCGATATGACTGAGAAAAAGCATAACTTCTATATCCAAGGAAAAATGGCTAGAGATAGAAAGTTTGACCCAGAAAGAATGGCAGAAATTTTAGATGAGAGAGTTTTGTCGATAGATGAAGAATTCGGGGGTGGAAGAGGAATCGACTAGTTGAAAGATGGGATCTAGAAGTTGACTTAGAAAAGAAGAAAAGATTACTAAAAATAATCCTCAGTCTTTACTCATCTTAAAAGCAACATTGGAAAAAGTAAAAAGAGCTAAGAAGATCAATTCTCACCTAAATCTACGCATTCATAGTTGAATACAGCTGACCTTGCAGCTACTAATTTATCAAAATCTTAAATCATAAGAGAACCCAGAGGGTAAAGCGTTATTAAGTATTATCAAGATGAATTGGATGATACTAAACTTTAATTTGATCAGTCTTTAAATAACATGGATGATTCTCAAAATCTAGATGATACACAGAGAGGGCTATTAAGTGTGACAAATAATAAACTAAGGTTCATGAAAAGGAAAGGATATATCTTAAATGCATCGTCAAGTTCATAAATGAATGCAATGGGTCTGATTTCAGGATCAGGTGAAATCTCAGAAGGGTAGAGACCGATTCAGTAGTCTTCATCAACTTAATTAGAATAATTAATGGCATCCGAAGAATAGAAAAAGAAGAAAAGGATGCCAGCAATGGAAGATAGACTTGAGCGATCAAGAAATGCTAAGGCAAGGTTAGAAAAACAGAAGAAGCATTAAGTGTTTGTAGATGATGTAGATGACTCAAGACCCAGATCAGAGCATGATTACATTCACAATGAGCATCATATAGATCATGATAATTTTAGAGAAGCAATGAATATAATGACAGATATGGATTTCTCAAAATTAGATAATCTTTACTTCATGAAAGGAAAGTAGGGTCAGTTTGATCAAGAATTCCTCTATGAGGACGATTCAGCAAGATAGAAGAGATTAATGAGAGGATTAACTAGAAGGTTAAATGATATGTCAGCTAAATAAGGGACTAAAAAGGCTCATAGAAAATCTCCCAGCAAATAATATCATTCCAGCAATATTGCTGCAAACTAGAATTTGCCTCAATTAAAGCGTAGAAAGTCTACTGGAGAAAGTAGTGGCACTTCAAAAGCTAAACATGATCTAAAAATTGATTTCTTACCGCCAAAAGATCAAGTTTACAACTCTGGTAAGATTACCTCACAACTCCCAAATGCTATAAAGGATGAAGTCAAAGGTTCTTTCCTCAAATCTTCAAAATAGGAAAATTTACTAGATGTCGAGTCAATCTTAAAAATGACAAGACTAGGAAAGGAATGGAGAAAATCACTTAACTTAAAATAGAAGTTGAGATAGCCAGATGCAACCACTAGAGAAATTATTTTTGATAATTTTACAATTGAAGTGAGAGATTATGTGCATGAGCACCCAGAATCGAGAATGCTTATGCAAGACTTTGAAACTTAATTTAAGAAAAAATTAGATGGAATGATGGGTATAGGCAACTCTAATAAAGACTATAATGATGCATTTAATGATGATTAGGGATCTGATGAAGAAAATGATAAATAATCTCCCTAAAGAAAAGCAGATGCAGTAAGGAAAATGATATATAGCAGACCTAGTGATGAACTTGATGTCTCACTAGATATGGAGTGAAATATATTAGTTATAATTAAATCTGACTCAATATTATATATTTTATTTAGAGTTTAATGATTTCAATATTCAACTTTAATATTATCAACAGGGGTTTTGGGGTTTTGGGGTTTTGGGGTTTTGGGG